ACAAATGCTTACCCACTCAACTACTAGCTGAAATGTTGACGGTTTGATCCCACCCAGAGGCATCTCAGAAGACAGACTTAGCAATCTGCTTTCGAAAGGTCATAGCTTTGAAAACCCTATAGAACAGGTCTGCTGTGTACACATGGGGTGGCCATGAGTCAGAATCGACTCAACAGCAACTAACATTAACAACAGCAACATAAAAAATCAGTTACGCGGGAGAGTAGATAGTAGCGATGGGGAAAGCTTCACCAAGGAGATAAATTCTGAAGGAGGTGGGAAGGTCAAGTGGATTTTGACAGACTGATAGGATTGGGAAGGGCATGCAGGAAGCAGGAACTGTCTTGGCAAAATCCTGGAGATTAAGGAATGGAATTTGTGTTCCCGAAATGGTGAATCATGTTTTCTACTTCTTGAGTGTGGTGCAGAGATCGTAACTGTCGGTTGCTCACTGATCATATGTGCTTACATATGTGCTGATTAGCTTTTGAAAGACTTGCACCTGTTTTCCAGATCTGTGCGTTTCAGATGGTACCAGGGATTTTACCCTGCGGGCTCTCAGCCCGTGACATGGGCCATTGATAATGTCTATGTTGGTCCCCAATGTGAAGAGATGTGTAATGGGCATGGCAGTTGTATCAATGGAACCAAGTGTATATGTGATCCTGGCTACTCAGGTCCAACCTGTAAAATAAGCACCAAAAATCCTGATTTTCTCAAAGATGATTTTGAAGGTAAAATTTTTCCCATAAATTCTATGAAGCTTTGTGAAAGAACTTAAATGTTAGACACAATTTGTAATATACAAGTAATCATTAAGTTCCAGTATAATATTTCATTATTTATCATTACAATTGTTACCACTCAAGTCTTCATTTAGCCTGACTTTTATAGAATTCCATTTTTGAAATTATGATCAATGAGTGTGAACAAGGCCTTAATTGAGAAAAAAGACGGCTGTTTTCACCACTTTTTCTACCACATGTAATTTCTGATTAATGATAATTTTAGAAAATGTCTATAGAGGGTTAATCTTCTTGGGTGGAGGGAACAAGTTTCTGGAAATATAAATTCCTGTCATTGCTTTACCACCAACTCATTAATAAAACAGCCTCTCATCGCTTTCTATATCTTAGTTTTATACCTAGAATCTAGTGTCGTTATGTATGAAGATAATGTTACAACATAGGAAAATGTGTATGAGGTAATGATTGGAAAAAGTATTTAAATTTTATATGTACTCTGATCAAACTATGGAAACCATTCTCATAAAAAAAAGTCTGTAAACATAATAGCTATCTATGTTAGGATAGAGAGATTGTAAGCTTTTTTTTCTTTTTCCTCAAGTTTTCTGTAAAAATGGTATGTTTAAAACTAGATCTAGAAGAGTGTCTGAAGAGATTTAAGAGCTGGTTTTGAGAGACAATATTTAATAGGAAATATTAAATTACACTGAAATTCTCCTGTTAAAGCTGTGTTTTTTTTTTAAATATTATACCTACGTGATACTATTGTCACATTAATAAGGATACAATAAAGATGCCAGTGGGAAGGCCACATTACTCTCCCTTATTTTTGACCTGAACCCTTCTCTAACTGAGCAGTTTCCTTTTCTGCAGTGTGGATGAGCAGAAAAGAGGGACCTATAAGTATCAAGGAAAGGCCCTCTTTTCCTATTCTGTGCACCTTTACGTTATGCCAGCCAAGGCTAAATAATTCAAAGAAGTTAAAACATTGAAGAGTTCTCTATCTCAAAGTTTATAAGTTCAGTATTTATAACTTTATGTTTAAAACCTAAATGATGCATTTACAGTGTTGATTTAAAAAACATACTTTGACTATAGTTGGGGTCATAAATGAACTACATTTTCCATTTTTCTCAGGTCAGCTAGAATCTGATAGATTCTTATTAATGAGTGGTGGGAAGCCATCTCGCAAGTGTGGAATCCTTTCCAGTGGAAACAACCTCTTTTTCAATGAAGATGGCTTGCGCATGTTGATGACTCGAGACCTGGATTTATCACAAGCTAGGTAATCATGTTTAAATGCTGTTTTGTGAAATCACATTGTAATATACAGGAGCAGAACATAATCAAATCAGAAAGAAGCAGGGGGATCTTAAGGACAAGGCCTTCCATTGGAAATACTGAGCTTCTCTCCTGTCAAAGATGCCGTTAAAACACAATTTACATAATCTCCATTCTAGAACCAGAAGAAACTTGTGCAATAACTAGATCAGCAATTAAACACAGCTAAACGCAAAAGTTAATATCTGTTATTATACAATATTGTGACTGAGAAAGGACAGTGTTTAACTTATTTACTTTAACTTTGAGAAAATAATATTGCATTTTCTTTATCCACTTTATACAGAACACTGTTCACTAGCCCTTAGACTACATAGGAAATTGTTTACGTTTGTTACACAGTGTTTAATAGAAAGCTTGGCTGAAATGCAGTACATCTTCAAGTTATTCACCATCAAATTTATCTCCATTAACAATTTAAGTTAAAAACATTTGAAGCACAGCCTATTCTTTATAAGAATTTCTTTCCAAAGATTTGCTAACACATTCTAAGCAGTCATTTTCCAAATTAAGCACAGTCACTCAAAAACGAACATTTTAAACTGGCTCAGAGGATTATGTCCTGTCAAGTTGTGTATCCCTTGATCATTTGATGAGCCAGAAACTTAAAAAGAAAAAAAAAAAAGGCAATTTAACATGTGTAAAATGGAACCCTGACCTATTTTTACAAGTGAACAAAGAAATCATATTTTTGTTTTTGAAATATTTCGGAGTACCTTAAAATGCATTTTAGTGTATTTATCCTCTTCGTTCTCTTAAATCGTTCATTTATTGAATTATAATTTTCATCATACTTTATAGGAAATACAGGTCTATCCATGAGATGGTAAGTTTACAGTTATAGAAGGCAAGATTTGTATTTATCCCCATCCTATTTTCATGCATATGATTTAATTTGATGCTCTTTAGTTCATATTTTCAGTGGAAGTTGAGTTCTCTGATTTAGAAATCATTAGGTTTTTCCAAATTAGTAATTCAGACATGGTTTACCTATCACTGAATTAATATATAAGCATTTTTCCAATACAAGTAGGCAGTATGTTAAAAAGCTTTTCACTGTAAATGATTACTGTTTTTATAAACGTAAATGTCACTGTAGGCTCCAACCATGTATTTTTTTCACTAATCCAGTGTTAAAAGCTTCATTATTTATCTCATCTCAGTAGCATGCTGTGTAGGATTTGCATATATTGACCTCAAAATGCTCCATGTAAAATCTCAATTTTCTCAGGGTCATGAGATAAATGAATGCCCAGTTAATGGGGTTGGGAGGAACTCATGAAGAATGTATATATGGTACTGATAACATTTATTATGAGCCCCAATCTATTTCATATGTTTGCCGTGCATACATTATTGGGTGTATGTGTTGGGCTGCACATGAAATTTATTCTGCATTACCAGCTAGCACGGCGGCCAGACCAGGCACTAGCAGCTTGCCTGCCAAAGAGAACATGTGAGCTAGTTTTCACTGGCACCCCAGCTGCTTGCTGCCACTCTGTCTGCCTCACTGCCAGCTGGGAAAGCTGCCACTGGCTGGCTGCCACAGCACTCAGTGGCCAGTATCATACATCCCCAGACCCAGCAACAGTCAGAAGCTGGCAAAGCTCACCACCACCACCACCACCACCTCCACCACCACCGCCACACTCTTGGTCCCCTGTCCCTGGAACAAAAAAAAAAAACAGAAAAGAGGCCTAGGCTTGACACACCTCTTCCAAGAGTCGTCTAGCCTTTCACAAAGAGGTGCTACAACTAGTGAATTTAAATACGTCCCCGTAAACCAGTGACATGAGATCTAAAAAAGTACTGGTGGAACCTGAGAGCGGATAATTTATCAGTAATATGGTGTGAATTATATTAATTGCATCCTTCCAGTTTCAAATACTAAGGACAAGAATCCAAATTTATCTTAAATAAATAACAATACACATTTTCAAATTTGAACAACCTTTGGATCATTCCCATCTTCTTGTAGAATAATCAGAGGGTGTAATGAATGCTCACTTTCTTCCATTTCCCTCAGTCTCTCCTGTGAGGAGAGGTGCCAAGATATTAATATGGACACCGAATTGCCTTTTTTCAACTTCACATTTTATTAACTCCCTTTCACATTAGAAAGGAAAATCAAACTTTGAAATTATTGCTTTGGACATTCATTAAATCATCATATTCATTAAAGTCATGTCTTCCCCATATTACCCTGCATGCTTATCTTTTGTTAATGATGTGGATTTCTCATTGAAGTAAAAGTCCACAGTAAACTTTACTAATATCAGATTTGTGCAGTTCTTCATGAGACTGGGATGTGGTAAAGGTGTTCCAGACCCCAGGAGCCAACCTGTACTTCTACAGTATTCTCTCAATGGCGGCCTCTCATGGAGTCTCCTTCAAGAGTTCCTCTTCAGCAATTCCAGCAATGTGGGCAGGTACATAGCCCTGGAGATACCCTTGAAAGCTCGTTCTAGTTCTACTCGTCTCCGCTGGTGGCAACCATCTGAAAATGGGCACTTCTACAGCCCCTGGGTTATTGACCAGGTCAGTCTGTTCAGGATGAATTATTTTAATTTTGTCACTTGAACTGAATATGACCTTAGATAGCATTTAGTCCAGCCTCTTGGTTCAGCAAAAGAAGCCCAGCATGGACAGTTGAGTGACTTGCCCAAGGGCACACAGCTAGATTAGATATGGTGCTTAGTTTCCTTTCATTCTCTATTCTATTGCCTGAGCCTATAAAAACAAACTACACAACAGAAAGCCTAGGTTCTGCTCATAGAGGATTCTGCCATATGGATAGAGGGACTTTATTAAGCATGATATGAGGTTATAATTCTCTGCAAAGGAAAATGCGCAAATTAGCATTGGCTGCCACATGCAATAGTTCCCAAATCCTCTTTCCTAGCCTGGGAAGAAAAAAAATAATAAATCTCCCCAACATTCTTTATGGGCCATTCTGAAAGATCTTCATACATAATAAAATGTACATCAAATGGAACTCAAAGAACCTATTAACAAACAGTAGGGTCCATGCAAAGGTTTGGAGCTGAAATGCTTTAGTGTGCAACTGTCCTTAAATAGAAATTTTACATGGAAAATAACCTTGTGTAAGCCAAATTTTGCTTTCCCAGCTTGGGTACTTGTAGTTTCCAAAGACACAATTTAGCCCATGAAGTCTGTGAATGATTTTGTCAATCCTTTGATTTGTTTTCAGTAGCTTCTTGCCAGATCGGCAAGCAGGCCACATAAAAAGAGCATTCTGAAAGATCCCCTAACATTATGCTTGCTGTATTATGCCAGCTCTGAGCAGGCTGATAGATTAAAAACAAACAAACAAAAAGATTGAACTTTCCTATATCTTAAAATCAAGGTTGTTTTTGGGTTTTTTGTTTTTTTTATTACATTTCAGATACTTATTGGAGGAAATATTTCTGGGAATACAGTCTTGGAAGATGATTTTTCAACTCTGGATAGTAGGAAATGGCTGCTTCACCCTGGAGGCACCAAGATGCCCGTGTGTGGCTCTACTGGTGATGCCCTGGTCTTCATTGAAAAGGCCAGCACACGTTATGTGGTCACCACGGATATTGCTGTGAATGAGGATTCGTTCCTGCAGATTGATTTCGCTGCCTCCTGCTCAGTCACGGACTCTTGTTATGGTAAATGTTCCATTTCCAAATCGAGGGCAGAGTTGTGGGCATAGGCATCTATGGACACTTCTGTCAAAGGGCTATTCTGCGCCTCTGATAAGTCCATGACCAAAATACAAGTGTACGTTGAGTCGACCATCACTGTATTGTTGACAGTGTTGTGTGTAAATTGAACTTTAGAAGTTTAATTATTTTTTAAAGCCTCAAAATGTGAGTGTAATTTTTAAGCATTTGTACGCAGAGATTTCCTTTATAAAGTAAATAATAACCCCCAATTTATCTTTTTGTAAATTCATATTTTTTTAGTATCAGACTTGAGGAATAAAAGGATACACTTGTAGTATTTTTCCATCCAAGGACTCTGATCACAAAGGGAACTCTAAGAATAAGCAATAATATCTATGCATATAATTATATTTACATGGATTTTAATTCATGGGGCTTTAGATTAGTCCAGTTGTGGTCTCCTTTCTGTCTTCTTAGGAATCATGAAATTATGTTGTTCCTATTTCACCTTATACATTTTGCTATCCTGGATCATAGCGTATTCTGGGCTACCCTCACTGTGGCCAGTTTGCATCCCCTAGGCTCAGCATGTGTATACACACACACAAACACAAACACACACACGAACCTATCTCAGGAGAAATAAAAACTGACATCATTATAGTCTTGGATCCTTCACCTGAATATACAGGACTGTCAGGATTTTGGGAGCCTCTTGTCTTTCACCACTCCATATCTCTCTTCTTCCGAGAGACCAAGACTAGAATGGTCACAAGGGCCTTGTTCATTTTAGACTCTGGAAAGGTAAAATCTGAGGAATTGGGTTATTTCCAAGCTCCTGCAGAATCCAGATTTTTCATATTTCCATTACTTTGAACTTAATGGACATCTGTTAGGGAGAAACCAAAAAGTACTCTTCCTGCTACAGAGTCCATCAGTCCATCAACACTAGACTAGTCAATGGAGGTGGAATTTGGAAAAGTAGAGGTAGATATCCTGCCTTCAATAGGTGACAATCTAGTGGAGGAGATACTTCAAAAGATGAGAGTCTAATAAATGACTGAATCAAGTGCTATGTGATGTGACAGTGATGAGAAATGTAATGAGAGTTCAAAGGAGGGAGAGATGACCGATGGATGGCCAGTCCACAAAGGAGCTGAGTCTCAAGTGGACCTTGATGGTTGGAGCAGATTTGAAGGGTAGGTGGAGTGGATATGAAGGGTGCATTTGAACTGGGCTTGCAACACAAGCAGGGATAGTAGTTCCCTTGGTCCATAAGTGAAACCGTGAGCAGATCGGCCTGACCAGGCAGTGTTTGCATCTAATGGAGCAGAGGAAAGAGTGCTGGTTTTGAAAACAGAAAGGGATTTTAAGGTCCTAAATGCCTAATTCCTCATTACCATAGGAAGTCAGTGTGAACCCAAGGAGGCAGGTTATCACAAAGTCGACCAGCAGCAGTGCCACGACTGAAACTCTGCCTTCACAAACTCAGACACATGTGCTTTCTACTGTAGGCTGACTCAACCTTTGCAAAGAGGTTAAACCGAACAGTAAGATGAAAGAGGAAAGTGGCTAGGTGGAATTGGCAACAAATTATGAAGGGCCTTTAAAGGCAGACACAGGAATCTGTGCTTGGCAAAGTTTGTGAATAGTAAGGGTACAAGTGCAAGGGAGTAACTCAGTATGTTTTAGGGAGATGTGCCTGGGAGTTGATGAAGGAGATGGGAAAGAATCCCAGTAAAGAAGCTACAGTGACAATCCCTGTAGGAAGTGATGAAGACCTCAACCAAGGTGACATGAAGAGAAATAGAATAGATAAAATTAACATGAGATAATGCAAACAAAAAACAAGAAAGAAGCAACAGGTCTCAGGACTAGGGTACAGATTGAACATAAGAGGGTAAAGGAGAGAGAAGTGTAAAATGCTTCTGGATTTTGAACCCATAAAATTAGTGTAAGCATTGCCATTGAAAAAAATTGGTATGTAAAAAGAGATATTTATTTGTGAGGGGAAATGATGAGTTGCTTTTTTTTTCTCTTTTCAGCTTAGGTGAAAGTAGACCTAAGTGGAAATGTTCTTTAGTGCGGAGGAGATAGATTACGGAATACAGGAACTTTGTCTCCATTGTTCATCACTATATGCCCAGCATCCAGCACAGTAAACATTTGTTGAATGAATACAATCAAATTTTGAGACTAAAATTGGGTGATTTGGGCACAAAAGTAATAGTTGAAACCCTAAGAGCATACACATAGAATAGAAGGCCAGAAACATTCTGGAAGATTGCCCGTTGCTAGGCTAGTTAGCAAAGGAGTCAGAGTGAAAGTAAGACACAGGAGAGTACGAGTAGAATTATGTCTCCCAAACAAAAGAAAGGTTCAAGAATCAGGGAATAATAATGTCTAAGTATAATGCAGACTGAGACCAGACCATTGTACTTAACTAGACAAAGCCATTAATAACCTTAGAGCACGAGTGGTCTCCACGCTGGATGCCTTGGGAATCACCTGGGGAGCCTTAAAGCTCCTGACAGCTTGGCCATACCCCAAAAGAGTTCAGTCAGAATCTCTGGGAGTGGGACTCAATCATCAGCAGTTTTTAAAGGTACCCAGGTGATTTCAGTGTGCAGCCAACATTAAGAACCATGGGTTTACAGAAAGCAATTTCAGTAAAGAGATTGGACCTGAAGCCAGTTTATAAGGCATTAAGAAGGGAGTGTTATTGCTGTTGGGTGCTGTTGAGTCAATTCCAACTCATAGCGACCCCTTGTGACAGAGTAGAACTGCCACATAGGGTTTTCTAGGATTATAATTTTTACAGAGCAGATTGCCAGGTCTTTCTACCACAGAGCCAATGGGTGGGATCAAATCACCAACTTTTCAGTTAGCAGTCAAGAACTTAACTGTTATGCCACCAGGACTCCTAAGAAGGGAGTAGGGAAAGAGAAATATAAGACAAGGAGCATAGGTTGAATTTTTCAGAAGAAGAGAAAGAAAAGAGATATCTTTCCATAGACCCACAGCCTGACTGCATGCACTGGCATGAATTCTGTGACCTTCAGCTCCCTCCTTACACCCTCTGATTTCCCAGTATATTCCATAACACAGCACTAAGAGATATATAAGCAAAAAAGTCTTAATACCAGGGGAAAAATTGGCACTAGTTGGTCAGGATCACTATAGAATGGCCCAATTTTGAGAAGACTGGTCATTTTTTTCAACTGTTTAAAAAAATCATCATTAAAATTTGTGATTATGATCTGTACTTGCATGTTAGCCATAAAATTAATGGACGTAATATACCAAATTATAACTATTATAAGATGTTGAATTATATACAATTTATATAATATACATTTATTTAATATATATTCTATAACTATTATGTTAAATTATAACTATATGTAACTTGGAGCCCTGGTGGAGCAGTGGTTAAGAGCTATGACTACTAACCAAAAGGTCGGCAGTTCAAATCCACCAGACCCTTCCTGGAAATCCTATGAGGCAGTTCTACTCTGTCCTGTAGGGTCGCTATGAGTCGGAATTGACTCAACAGCAACAGACTTGGTTGGTTGTTTGGTTGGTTTTTTTTTTTTTTGGATATATAAATTATAACTATTACAGCTGTTGCTTTAAGTCTATGAAGTAATTTTGCATGATTGTTCTAAGCTTATTATAAGGGGTGATTCAGAAAAATTTACTTTATGTTTCAGTTGGTCATCTCCCCTTAAAGGAAAAATTATTTCAATATGGAAGTTAAAAAATAATAACTAGTAATATACAGAGAGAAAAATCAAACCAGGAAACATTTCAAACTAGGAAATATAAATATGGGAAAAAATCAAACTGAAATTAAAACATGAAAACAAAAGTTTATATGATTCCTGGGTCTCCAGACATGTATTTATATCCAGAATAATGCTTCCTGTTTCAGCTATTGAATTGGAATACTCAGTAGATCTTGGACTGTCTTGGCACCCTTTGGTAAGAGACTGTCTGCCTACCAATGTTGAATGCAGTCGCTATCATCTGCAGCGGATCCTGGTGTCAGATACTTTCAACAAGTGGACCAGAATCACGCTGCCCCTCCCTCCTTACACCAGGTATGGATGCATTCTGCATGTAGAGAACCAAAATGTGGGGTCATTGGCATGTCAGAATTTAGGACAGTGGAAAACCAGTTTTTGTGGTGACATTGTTCTGTTTTCCCCAAACGTAGGCCTTGATTGACTTTTAACACTAATATTTATAAAGAAAGGTATATGCAAGAAAACAGAGGCTGGATCACTGAGCTTCTCCAACTTAATTCAGATTTCCCAAGAGCAATTCATTTAAAATAGGACCATTGGATGCAAACTGGATATAAATGAAGTCTATTTTCTGTCAGTCTGCCCACTGTAAATGTAGCAGTGAGTGATGTCATATAAATGGATGTAGCAAATGTGTATTAAAATTAATGCCAATTTTTGAAATTTTATTTTGAAAAGTGCCTTGAGAATTACCACCTTGAGCATTCTTTTATGTGAAAAAAAGAATTGTAAATGCTCCATTCATTGCATCAATAAAAGATGTTGGTGGTTTGATAAAATTGCCTAGTAAATGTTGGTAAAGAACTTAAATCTAAATCATCTATGCATTTTGCACCCTTGTTTAGAGTAAAGCAGAGGATTAACTTTGTCTGGGAATCCTCTCTTCTCTTTCACCATCTAAAGTAAATGCTAACCATAGGAAAGCTCTAAAATTTTGGTAGAAGCTCGGTCCCCTCAAGAAAATGGTGATCAATTGCTGCTGTTAAGAAGGAAGCAAAGGAAGCTCTGCAGCGTGTGGAGCAGGAGTTAGTGTTTGAGCTCATTATTGTTCTGTTGCTTCCCCACAAATGAAGAATAAATAAATCTTCATAGCAAATGACCGTAAAATTCAACCATTCATCTAGGGCATAACTTTTCGTGGGATTATCATAAATGGAATGGTTTCAGTTACTAACAGCCTAAAGCTGCTGTACAATCGCTGGCTCAGAGGTACGCGACTATATTAACTGTCAGCAGAGTTGCCAAGTTTAAATGAGATACGTGAGATTTTGTTGCTCGTTAAAGGTATTGCCATGCATGAATTATTAAGGCGATCTTAATAAGTAAAACAGAAAAAAAATAACTCCATTAAGGCAGGAATCTTTTAAGTCTTTATGAATTCTATGAATTATTACCCAGCTACTAGATAAATTGTTTTGCAAATAAGCAACATTCTAAGATTTACTCCAGCTAGTCATTAAACCCTGAGTCTTTTACTCAAGAAAAGTAATTATTCCTCATTTCTTAACTGATCTTTTAATTGTCTCTTGCATATACCCACAAGAATGTTGACCCTTTCAAATGATATTGGAAAAATCTGATGAGCATCCATTTCCTCCTGTTACTATATTGAAAATGTGCAGTTTGTTTACTATACTATCCTCAAGACTTATGTTGTACAATGGTCTTAAAGGTGACACTGCGTAATAGCAAGGTCCTTCGGGTAATTCAGAAAGAAACATTCCTGGATGGAGCCTGAGCCAAATCCACTTCTGATCATCCTCTCCCATATGCCAAAGTTCATTAGAACCACATGCCACTTTCAAAGTACTTTATCCCAAATGCAAGGTAGCATACCTATATTATATCTACACTTACATCCAGTTACATTCTAAATGTGGTGTTTTCTTCTTATTGCCTCAGTATCTGGAAATCTGTTCAAAATTCAATGTTTATGTTGTCTTCCAATCCTTAAATTGAGGATTTCAGTTTGTAGCTCATTGCTATAAACAAACATGATTGCTGACAACTTAGAGCCTTGTGCTAAGCAGAGGTTAAGAATAACTGTGACATTGCACCAGGTGCAGGCTTGTCCACTCACTCACTTATCATATAACCACAAGGCTGGGAGCCCAGTATTGTTGATGCAATGGCGCTAAGAATCAGCGGAGGTTGGTTGTCCACAAATTGACATCAAATCAGTTATCAAACTGAAATTGGTGGTAGCCATCAGTAGAGATCATTCATCCATTTAGCACTATTAAACAAATAGATTTGAAGCTTTTAATTATGTGCTAGGCCTATGTAATGTGCTAAACTGCTACTGCCCTCAAGGAGCTTTTAGTTTAGTGAAGAGGAAGGTATTAACCATAAATCTCCAGTAACCACAGAAGTAAATATAAAATTACAAGTGAAATAAGTGAAGAAGAACAGGTACATCCTGCTATGAGATTATGTATCACGGGGAGATTGGCTTGGTCAAGGAGGTCAAGGAATGCTTCCTTGAGAAAGGGTAATTGAGATAAAATGTGAGGGATGAATAGGAGTTAGCTAGGTGAAAAGTAATGCTTAGAGTCTCCCAGGAAGGATACCAGCCTATGGTGAGAGAAAGCATCCACATTTAAGATACAGAATACGTGCGTCAAACAGAGACCCAGGCAGAGAGATATGAGAAATGGTGTCAAACCATGGACAGCATTGTGTTAAAGATTTGGGGATTTATTCTATGAACAACTGAAACATCTGTTAAAGTGTTTGGGGATAGGAAGATATGATCAGATTTACATTCAGAAAAGCTTATTCTCAGGCGGAGCCAGGACAGCAGAGTAGTCAGATGCTTCCAGTGGTCCCTCTTACAACAAAGATCCGAGAAAACAAATGAGTCGATTATATATGACAATCTAGGAGCCCTGAACATCAAAGGCAAAGTTGAAGAATTGGACTAAGTGGCAGGAGGAGGGAAAGATGGTTCAGAATCAACGAGGAGTTGCCAGACCTGACCCAGCGGGAACTGGCACCTTGCAGGCCAGATCAGCTGGCGTGCGCGGTAAGGCAAGCAGTGGCATTCGGGACACGTTTTCTACATCAGGAGAGACCAAGCGGCAGAGAGTCTACTCAGGCTTCCAGAACCAGTGAAAAGTGGCACTCAGTCTGCAAAAGATAAATTCATGCGTCTAGCCTATCATGCGGATCAAAAAACACCCAATTTGGAAAGAACTCCTCTCCCATTTACCTGCCCCCTCCCCATTCTACACCGGTGTCTGGGCCACTTCAGCGATTGCCGCGTCCCCTGGGCCAGAAGTAGGACCAGTCACACACCCTGAGCCATTCTTCCAGCCTTGGAGAGGGAAAACAAATTAACAAATAGGAAAAAATAATCTGCCAGCTCCCCTAAGCTGGGAACTCAGGGCAGGCACAGTTCCCTAGGCACAGGCATAAGAGGTCCATGGACTTCAACAGCGTAGGCCCTCATTAGCACAGTACAACAGGGTATATACCTGATGCCTGACTTCAGCAGTGTCAGCTAAATAGTGGAGTGGCAGGTTTGTGACATTTGATACCACTCTGCCCATTAAGTAGGGCCCTCACCTACCTACATCAGGGGTCTGAGAGCTGGTGGCTCCACCCATGCCACCTAGACACCTGTGATAGGGGTCCAAGAATAAGTGGTGCCTCCCAGTCCTTACAGCCAACAGCATTGGGTGCCCATAGTCCAGCTGCAAAACTCACTGCCCTACACAGTCTAGGGAACAAGTACACACTTTCCTCCCAGATATTCAGGGGCATCTGTCACCACCTGCCTTGCTCAGCATGTGAACCCCTACTGCAGCCAGATACCTGTGCCTACTCCACCCCTGCCTGTCTAGGACTGTAGGTGAGGGCATGCACCACACACTTGGTGACCAACTACCTAGACACCTGAGCTGAATCCATACAAGAAAAGTAAACAGACTCCTGGGCTCACATATCTAGCAACAGATTTAATCACCTGGTGACAGGACGTTAGAGCTTCAAAGGCCCCAATAATCAAACTAGCTCACACAAGCAGCCTATTGGGGCATATCAAAACAGAAAAAAACAAGAAGCTAGGACACAGTAAGCAAACATGAAATAAATATAATAACTTATTGATGGCTTGGAGACAACAGTAAATATCAGATCACATAAAGAGGCAGACCATGATGACTTCAGCAAGCTCCCAAAACAAAGAAAGAAGAAATCTTCCAGAAGAAGAAAAATTCTTGGAATTACTGGAGGTAGAATACAAAAGATTGATATACAGAACTCTTCAAGATATCAGGAAGGAGATCAGGCAAACACAGACCAAGCCAAGGAACACACAGACAAAGCAATAGAGGAACTTAAGAAGATTATAGAAGAGCATAATGACAAATTTAACAGGCTGGAAGAATCCATAGAGAGACAGCAAACAGAAATCCAAAAGATTAACAATAAAATTTCAGAATTAGACAACTCAATGGAAAGTCATAGGAGCAGAATTGAGGCACTAGAAGTTAGAATTAGTGAGATTGAAGATCAAGCACTTGACACTAACTTATTTGAGGAAAAATCAGGTAAAAGAATTTTTAAAAATGAAGAAACCCTAGGAATTATATGGGACTCTGTCAAGAGGAATAACCTACGAGTGATTGGAATACCAGAACGGGGAGATAACAGAAAATACAGAGGGAATTGTTGAAGATTTGTTGGCAGAAAACTTCCCTGATATTGTGAAAGATGAGAAGATATCTATCCAAGATGCTCATCAAACCCCATACAAGGTAGATCCCAAAAGAAAGTCACGAAGACATATTAAAATCAAACTTGCTAAAACCAAAGATAAAGAGAGAAGTTTAAGAACAGCTAGGGATAAATGAAAAGTCATCTGCAAAGGAGAGTCAATAAGACTAAGCTCAGACTACTCAGCAGAAACTATACAGGCAAGAAGGCAATGGGATGACATATATAAAATCTTGAAGGAAAAAAACTGCCAGCCAAGAATTCTGTATCCAGCAAAACTGTCTCTCATATATGATGGTGAAATTAGGGCATTTCCAGATAAACAGAAGTTAAGGGAATTTGCAAAAACCATACCAAAATTACAAGAAATACTAAAGGGAGTCCTCCAGTTAGAAAATCAATAACATCAGATAACAACCCAAGACTAGAACACAGGACAGAGCAACCAGGTATAAACCCAGATAGGGAAGTTACAAAAATAAATCAAAGCTAAAACATTGAAAATAGGGAAACAGATGTCAATATGTAAAAGATGACAACATTAAAAAAAAGGGACTAAAAAATGTAGTCATAGA